TCTCCAGGAAGGACCAAAACCTCCGAACGCTTCGGGGCGTAGGGAACAACTTTCGTTTTACAAAAAAAACACCAGGAGCCCGACCCGAAACCTCCAACGTGCAGATTTTGGACCCTCTGGCCTCGTCTGCTCTCCAACGCTTGCCCTGTCCACCGACGTTCTCTTCTCCCCCGTGGTGAGTCTCCCCTACCTGCCCTGCAGGTCCAGGGCTGGCGCTCGCATGAGCGGACAAAGCCAAAAAGGCCGTCTGGGTGGCAGCGCCAACCGCCACCTGTCGTCCTCCTGAGCCAATGTGGCTACGGAGAACACGGAAGGAGGTGGAGGAGGAGGAGATGATAGGGGGTCTTAGATACACCTTCACTGTCGGACGAGCCCTAACATCTGGAAGGTGTCAGACAAGGAGGGATGCCACACAGAAGGCCTAGGTGAAATGCTTACCCATTGCGAGGGAAGAGCACCACTTGGGAAGCGGATGCCGCCACGCACGGCCACCTGCTGCGAACGTATTGGGTATTGGCAGGAGGCGCATGGCCGGCCACGTATCCACGGAGCTTGCGAACCTACAAATCCAGAGCATTGGGATACGAACTATCAAGATGCGAAAAACATAGTTGGGAATTTACAGTCGGGGCCTTGACCTAAGGAACCCCAAATAAGGAACGAGGCCCCTTTTTTTCCATAATTTAACCTTCGATTTCAGATCGAAAACCTAAGGAAAGCCTGAGGCAAGCTGCGAAACACTTCAGGAACGCGGAGCCCCTCCCCAACGAAAAGGGTTCCTTCTTCAGGGCCCCGACTGTAACGTGTTAGCCACTGTGGAACCCTCAAAGTGTGCCTCTAGCACAATATGGTGTGCAATCGGCGTTGTGCAATATATGTTGTGCAATCGATGCTTTGCGAAGCGTGGGGTGCAACCTACGCGGTGCAATTCAACCTGCCGAATTTGAGGTTGACGACTCCACTGCTCGCGCAACCATTCCACCCACCCGCAATTTGGTTTGCAAAAGTCATGAAACGACGATTGCGATGAGTGCTTGGCGCTGGCTGGCCCATCGTAGCGGCTGCGCTCGCGCGCGCAGATTCGCGCGCAGAGCGGCCAGCTAGTCTGGCGCGACCGACGCGGCCGCGGTGGCGCTGACCGTTGAAGACTTCCCAGCGCGTCTCGCAGGCCGCGCTGACGCGCGGAAATTCAGTACGAGTCGGTAGACCGGGGCGGGCGCTGTAGAATGGCGACGTCGACAAGGGCAGACACGATGATGATTGTAGCAATGCTGGTGGCGACGATGACTATGACGACGGCAGGGCCAATGACGACGCCGATGCTGATAACGCCGGTGACGACGATGGTGTCCACCCTTTGGAGATGAAGGTTGCGGAAGGATTTCGAAGTGCGCGCGCAAGGGCTCTCGAATGAGTTGACAGGCCCGCGCGAGACGCACGCTTGGTCGAGTGTGATTAAAGTGTTGGAAGCCGATGGTGTTCTGAAGAAGTCTCAAGACCGCGCGCGCAGACATGTTTGAACATTCATGTTGCAGGACCACGGGTTGTTTATATGTTTCGGGACCTTCAATATGGATGCTGGATGCCAGCATGCGGGATGTCGGCATGCGCGCGCGATGTCGCGCTCGTGCGAAGTTCGTCTCTTTTTGTTGCAAGGGAATCCGGGACATGTATACGACTGTGCGCGCATATGGTTTTCTGTAACGGATGAGGGGGGAATGCTGGTTTGGCTGGGATCAATGTGTAAAATGCACGATGTGGCGGAATTATCTGTGAATTGCACATGCCAAGGGGGAGGGATAATCACGGATGGGGAAAGAGATCCTCAATGTCTTTTTTTTACAAAAAAAAGGAACTGCCTATGTTGTGTAATCTTTTTCGTGCAATGGTGCAACGTATGTGGTGCAATCTATGTGGTGCAATTAATTTCTGTTCGCAGTGAGTTGTCCACTTCACTGCTCGCGCAAACATCCCACCCACCCACCCGCAACTTGGTTTGCAAAATCTCTTGAGACCGTGACGGTGGGTACCACATGGCACTTGGTATCAACAGCGACGCCGACGACGACAGCGACAACGACGATGACGACGCCGCCGACAACGCCTACGACACCGACGACGTCTCCAACGACTTCGACGACGCCGACAACGACGACGACGACGACACCGACGACGACGACGACGACACCGACGCCGACGACGACGACGACGTCAACGACGCCGACGACGACGACGACGACGACGACAACGGCGGCGACGACGACGACGCCGACGTCGACGACGCGAAGACGACAACGACGCCGACGCCGACGCCCGATCGGACGCCGACGACGTCGCAACGAACAACGAGGAAGAGGGGGACGACACGGCGACAACGACGACAACGACGAGGGAGGAGGGAGACGGCGACGACGCGAACGCTAAGACGGAGAGGACGCGACGCCGACGACGGCAACGACGAGGGAGGAGGGAGACGACGACGACGACGACGGAGCAACGACGACGACCGACGGCGACGAAATAGACAGACGACGACGAGACGCCGACGACGGACGACGACGACGACGACGGGGGAGGAGGAGGAAGGACGACCACGGCGACAACGACGACGGAAACGACCACGACGCCAAAGAGGACGACGACGACGAACACGAGGAAAGACAGAGGACGACGTAGGCGACGACGACGACGACGACGACGACGCGGGAGGAGGGAGGACGGCGACGACGACGACGACGACGCAAGAGCGCGCGCGCACGCTTTTGTTGAAAATCCGTGTTGCGAAACCTTTTGTTTTTGTAGGTTTTTTTGACACACGATTTTGAAATCCTTCTGAAACCGATGGGTTTTGAAGGTTTTCGGCATACGCGCGCGACGACGCGCGCGTCTGCACTTCGTCCAATTTTTTGCAGGGGGATTCTCGCGACGGCACGCGCGCAAGGGCGTTCAACAGATTTCGACATGAGCGCGCGCGAAGCCCGTTTGGTAGCATTTTGTGAACATCTTGAAAAACCTACGGTTTTCTTAAGATTTCGCAAGAGCTTTCGCGGAAGTTTTTTAAACACATCAGTGTTGCAGAACCATGTGTTTTTCTATGTTTTTTGGAAACTCGATTGCGAAATCCTTCCAGCACCGAAGGTTTTTGAAGGATTTCGGCATGCGCGCGACGACGCGCGCGTGTGCACTTCGTCCCGTTTTTTGCGAGGGATTCGCGAACAAGTGCTATGCTAGAACAAAAAATGTCACCGCGTAGTGTCTTTTACAAGGGAACCTCAGGGGGGGGGAGACCGGCCTGCCTGGGATGGTATGATTTCATATTTAGGATGGACGAGTGTGCAGACTATCTATGAAATTATACTACCCCACGGGGAAGCGATAAGTCTGGGGGGGGGGTAGAGTCTATTCTCTTTTAAGAAAAAACAATCACTTGCTCAACTTGAAGCTGTCCTCTCCACTGCTCGCGCAAACATCCCACCCTCCCACCCCCCAACTTGGTTTGCAAAACCTCTTAAGGCCGACTACGACGACACCGACGACAACGACGACGACGACACCGACGACGTCTCCGACGACTTCGACGACGACAACGACGCCGACGCCGACGCCGACGCCGACGCCGACGACGACGCCAACGAAGGCGACGACGAGGGAGGAGGAAGGACGACGACGGCGACAACGACGACAACGACGACAACGACGAGGGAGGAGGGAGGACGGCGACGACGCGAACGACGACGAAGGAGGAAGGACGGCGACGCCGACGACAACGACGAGGGAGGAGGGAAGACGACGACGACAACGACGACGACGACGGTGACGACATAGAACCGACGACGAGACGCCGACGACGGACGACGACGACGACGTGGGAGGAGGAGGACGGACGACCACGGCGACAACGACGACGGAAACGACCACGACGCCAATGAGGACGACGACGACGAACACGAGAAAAGACAGAGGACGACGTAGGCGACGACGACGACGACGCGGGAGGAGGGAGGACGGCGACGACGACGACGACGCAAGAGCGCGCGCGCACGTTTTTGTTGAAAATCCGTGTTGCGAAAACTTCGGTTGTTGTAGGTTTTTTGGACGCACGATTTTGAAATCCTTCCGAAACCGATGGGTTTTGAAGGTTTTCGGCATACGCGCGCGACGACGCGCGCGTCTGCACTTCGTCCCGTTTTTTGCAGAGGATTCGCGCGACGGCACACGCTCAAGGGCGTTCGACAGATTTCGACATGCGCGCGCGAAGCCCGTTTGGTAGCATTTTGTGAACATCTTGAAAAACCGATGGTTTGCTTAAGATTTCGCAAGA